CTTGGTCACATGACACGAGTAACAGGTGTGGCTACCCAGGGTAAATATGTAAGGTCATGGTGGGGCATCAAGGAACCTGCATGGGTGACAGCATACAAAATAAGCTACAGTAATGATACCTTTACCTGGACATTTTACAAGGAAAACGGAAAAGAGGTAATCCTGAACAAAATGGGTTTGGAGTTGTGAGTTGAGGAATGGAACAGAATAGAAAATGAAAATGAGAGTAAAGGAAGAAAAGATGAGAAAATAGGTTTGAGCAAAATGACACTGCGTTGAACTGAAAAGAGAAGTAACTCCAATGTTTGAGACTAAGCAATGAAACCTCTATGCAAATGCTGCATTAACAATGTTTTCAGGTGTTTTCTGGGAACACAGCGTCAAAGAATATCAGGAAGCATAATCTTACTAAACAACTAGTGACACGTCACTTAAAATTCATTCCATCGAGGTGGGAAACCTGGACTTGCATGCGTGTAGAGGTGTATGGTTGCAAAGGTAATTAATGGTCACTGAGTCAGTCTGCAAATCAAGCAATCCATTTTTGATCAATCAGTCAGTCAGTCTACCAATCAGTCTGCCAGTCAGTCAATCAGGCAGTCAGTCAAGTAATCAGTCAGTCAGTCAGTTTGGCAGTCAATCGCAATCACTCGATCAAGCAATCATCTGTGAGATAGTCATTCAGTCAATTCATCAATCTATCATTGACCAGTTTGCCAATCAGCTAATCAACCGTTTTAGGAACAAAAAATCAATTCAGGCTTTCTTTTCAATCCCGGCATCTCATTTTTAGCGTGTGATTCTCCTCTGGGAATGGAGTTTTTTCATATAAAGGATGAAGCCATTCTGGAATCCAGTGGTCGGGACCCAAAATTCACAAGCCACTACAGAGGGTATGCAGCAAGGCTTCACCACGATGAGAATCATGGTTGGTTACCAGATACACRTGTTGAAAATCCATATTTGCAAATTGATCTCGGTAGCGAGAGAGTTGAAGTAACTGCGGTAGCAACTCAAGGCGAACAAAATAAYAGACAAATTCTGAAATTTAAGTTGTGTTTCAGCAATGACCAGTTGCATTGGTTTGATTCCAGACACGAATGGAGAACAAAGGTAGATTTTACATGTCAAAGAGAAATTCGTGATGGGTATTGTTTTAAAGATATCCATTCAGTTATAACTTTATTTTCTACCTGATTTTCTAAAATATTTAGGATACTACGCGCGCTGTGATTGGTCGAAAACCATGTTTGATTACAGTTTCTAAAATATTTAGGATACTACGCGCGCTGTGATTGGTCGAAAACCATGTTTGATTACAGTATCAAAACACGCTCGCGCACGTCAAAAATGTATTTTTTTCTTTTAATTTTAGAAAAGAAATAAAATACGAAATTCCGTGTTTGATACTCTGATCAAAACACTTGGGATGTAGGGAGAGCACTCGAAAAGCTGGAAACCACTCCGCTACGCGTCGTGGTTTCCTACGCTTCTCTCGTGCTCTCCCTACATCCCGCGTGTTTTGGTCAGAGTATCAAACACGGAATTTCGTCTTTTATTCCTTAAATCAAAAGTAGATAATCACCCAAGTGCTGTTTTCTCCTCAAACTCTAAATAAATAGGATTGTATATTGTCTTTCGCCTCGTAAATCAACAACCAGTAGTTATTTTGAGTTTATTAATTTTTTTCTAGATTTTTAAGGTCAATAAATCCAAATACATTGCTACCAAGAACTACTTAGATTACCCAGTCCAAACTCGCTATATTCAGTTTTGGCCAAAGGAGTGGATAAAACAGGCAGGCTTGAGAGTTGAGGTGTATGGATGCAGAGGTACGTCAGACTTTAGATTTCAAACTTATTTTTGTATATTTTCTTTAATTTGTTTTTCTTGCATCATCACGTCGTGAACATCCCTCTTGTTTCACACAAGCCCAATAATTCTTCCCCTATATTTAAATGTTTCTAGGTCGCTCGCAGTCTCTGCTTATCTCAAACAAAGCAAAAGTATTCACTGTCACTAACACTTCCATTGTGACTTGGACAAAAAGAATGCAACTAAATGATGTCAACCCTGAAAATACTTGGTGCGGCRAAGCTGGGAAGTTTTTACGTCTTGACTTTGGTTCAGTCAAGGATGTCAGGACAATTTTCATGCAAGGACACCCGACCGAGGAGAAATGGGTGAAGAAGTTTTTGCTACGTTATAGCGATGATGGGTTGTTTTACACGAATTTTACAACTTATTGGGAAATCAAGGTATAGTAGTATATCTGTTTGGTTGATGAAGTCAGAGAAAGACTGAATGATAGCTACTTTGATAGGATGTAGGTGGGAAAGTTGATAGTCGATGATTGATGAATGTAGTAAGAGAAGTGGTGGGATTGAAACTATTCGATGTGTTGCAGGAGTTAACAGGTAATTCACACAGACTGGAAATCACTAAATTTGACGTTGATCCAAGAGTAGCAGCTCGTTTTTTGGAGATTCACCCTGTGGAGTGGAATTCAGCAGCATGTATGAGAATCGAGGTGTATGGCGATGATGGTAAGTGGTTACATCTTAGTCCATTTTAATGTCACTTCTTTARCATCAATAATTCTATCTAGACTGCATGGAGCCATTAGGAATGGCAAACCATTTGATTCTTGATGAAGACATTAAGGCAACAAGTTGGGTTACAGTAGACCAAACTCCTTCACAAKCACGTCTCTACAACATTTATGGTGAAGGAGCATGGTGTCCCAGGGTATCAAACACAGACCAGTACCTTCAAATTACCCTGCATGGTCTTCACCAAATTACAGGTATCGCTACTCAAGGRCGATATCCCTTACCAGACTGCATAGCGGGTGAATACTGGGTGACGCAGTATTCTATAGAATACACAGTCAATGGATATACATGGCAAGATTATCAGCAAAATAACAAAAAGAAGGTATGCAATTGTAGTGTTTGWTATTRATKTTYCTCACTGAATCATTTTATTCTTRTCGYATTTACATGCTTTATTTCACGWTTCAAATAATCAGAACTKTTTWAAGGTTTTTCCAGGGAATCAAGATTACTTTAACGTAGCTGTCAATTATCTTATCCAACCAATCACAGCCAAGAGTTTACGTATTCGTCCT